CAAATGAGTTCATCTTTAAACTGTTAAACTAAATCTTTCCGAATGATGGTAACATTCGCTCCTGTAACAATCACCATATTACAAGGAATTGATATGTCTCATGATGAAGAGTCCGTTATTGCCGCCACTCATTTCAGAAACCTGAAACGCTTTGAAATGAGGCTTCTAATTATCGTTCAGATTCCTCTCTGCGATATGGCCATTAATTCGTTTCCCACGTTGTTGCTGGGGAATGCTTTTATTTTCCGTACCCTGGGGGGGTGTTCTGCAGTTATGTCCTTCAACACTGCAGTTCTATCACTTTAGAGTTGGTTTCTTTTCATTCCTATTCCACCTCAAGTCACTGACGTTTCTTGTGAAATCATCTGTTTTATTTTCTCTACCCTGGGGTGTTCTGCGATTCCATTGTATGTGGCCTTCAGTACCACATTTCCAACACTTTAGAGCCAGTTTGTTTTCACTCCTACTCCGTATTAAAGCATTGACTTGTCTGGATAAATCATCTAAACGAGCCATCACTTGATCCACTGGCTCGTGGACTTGCACAGCTCTGACTGTTTGGCGGTCGCTACGAGTTGCTGGGCTGCCTCGAATTTCATGGCGTACACCAGAGCGCTTTTTAACACTAGAAAGACTGAAACTTAGTATGTACCTATATTGCCTAAAAGCAGTTAAAACGACAGCATTCTCAAAAAATAACTAATGTATAAAGAAATTTGTTTAAAATTAATTTCTTATATCTTTTATAGTATTTACAGTTATATAACAAGTTATTAATAAATATTAACAGTAAAAAATTTACTTCACTTGGAAAAAAGTTAATTTAGTATTATTATGTGTACATTTTTTGGAATTGAAAGTGGAAATCTGTTTATGTGTACATCTTTCGCAAACATTCTTTTGATATTTTTCGCATATATTATTTGTTTTGTTGTTGTGGTAAGGTTGTACTTGACAAATTTGCGTAGCCTGTTGGTCCGTTCACTCCCTTGAAAATACAAGTAGATGGTAACCTTCCAGGAATACCACCTTCGTCAAATTTTGACCACACAGTACCATCGGCAGCTGTTTCGGTCTCCTGAAGGGTGTTTTCAGTTTCTTCATCAGAGTCTGAACTATTTAGCACCCTACACCTTTTCCTGGGCATATTGTTGACACTTTAATGTTCCTCATTGGTGATCGACTGTTCATTGCTATCTTCAGTGTCAGATGTTTCACTTTGAATATAATCCGCTTTATCTTCGGATGATAGTTCAGTGTTGCATCTGATTCTATATCGGAGCATTCTTCACTTATGTTCATTAGCCTTTCCAATAACTCATTCCTATTCGAGATTTCTTTCATGAATTTAGGGCGCAAAAGAAATAAAATAAGCAATTTGTTAGAACAAGTATCACTGCATATAGGTTCCAATAACAAGTACTACTTTAGCTTATTGAGAAACTGCAACTTATCAAGCATACGCCCAAAACGACAATTTATCATGTATTTGTATGTTATCATGTGACGGTAATCGGGGGGGGGGAAATGAAGACTGTTATTTCAATACAGAGCCAGAGCCGAACTGGTCATATAAGAAATTTACTCAATTCAATAATAAGAGTCATTTGATTATTAAAAATTTCCCAATTATAATGTGTTATACCTATATATATATATATATATATATATATATATATATACCAGAAATTAAAGAGGGGTAACTATAATTATTAATAAACGCATTTATATATTGTACAAAAAGTCACAAAATTCTAAGAAATTATGTCATTATATACATAATTGTTTTTCTAACTGAAATTAAAAAGCAGTCAAAATGACTTCCTTGGGCAATCTAGTGTTAAGTCCTTCACATCCGCCATTCGTAGAGTTTTCTGTATATTTCCTGAATCCCGAATGCTGATGAAGTACTGCAGGGACGGGATTTCATTTGTTTCTCTCGGGCATTCCGGAAAGATGATGTGACACAACCTTTCTACATCTGTGGCAAGTTCCTGCAGAGTTTCCATGGGCTTCTGTTGACGGGATTTTAATTGAAGCCTACTGTAATCTTTTAAACACTTATCGCCAAAGTGCAGCTCCAGTGTGCCGGACAGAGCTTCGAGGTCTAGTCTCTGAAAGAGTTTGAAAAACGTATGCTGCTGCCACTTCTCTGAGAGCGTCTACTCTCAGAGAAGCAGCGAGATGACAGGCGCCTTAGCTTGGGAATTCCATCCATTCACTTCTGCCACTATAGAAAATTGTGTCTATGCCACTTGTCAAGAGGTCTTCCCATCATATGTAAATAGCTTCAGAGAGCGACGAACAGGCATCGGTAAAAATTTAAAACCATCTGTATTGCTCCTTGCCGTCGCTACGAATTTCTTCAAGGTATCAGCTTCTTTGGTGCCTGCAGAAATCATGTCACCAATTTATTGTTCGATTTGGTATTGGATGGGAGAATCTTTCTTCGATTCGTTGCTCCACAGCAGAAACTCTCCCTTCTATTTGTTCTTTGACAGAGGTCCCTCTCTCTTCAATGTGTCCATTATTTTCGACAACGTCTATTCTGCTTTCCATAGCCTCAAATTTGTTTCCTATTATGTAGGTAGCTTCTCTTTTCATGTCCTCTTGACGTGTTTACTTTCATCTCCTCTTTAACAGATTCTTGACTAGCTTCCATCTTCTATAGCGGATTCTTGTCCCGCTTTAATCTCTCCTTTAGAGGATGCTTGGCTAGCTTTCATCTTTCTTGGAATGCAGCAAAAGCAGCCACAAGCTGTCTTAATTGTTCATCCATCCCTCTTGTTATTGGTGTTCAGTCCCACTTCTGACACTAAAAAGTGTTGCGTCCGTACGGGTTCGTAATATATTGAATGCACAATTCCGATAAAAAGTTAATAAAATTCATTATTATCGCAAGAAATATAACAAAGCTGGAATTTTCCTCAGAGATATTTGTACAATATCACAATATCTCGCAATATAATCAGTAGCTATACTTTAAACTACTAAAACGTTAAATAGAACGCAATCCACAGTGCAGAGAAAGCTAATCTTATCAACAATATTTACAGCAGCTAAGTAAACAACAACTGAGCTTAGATGTGTCTCTCCGACTTTTTTAAAGCTTTTTAATTGGTGACAAGAAAGTTCTGGTAATTTCTGCTTCTCGAGATTTCTGGAAAGATTATGGTTGCAGCTAACAGTAGTCAATTACATATTCAATTTAAATATAAATTACGAGATAGCTGTTAAATATGTGTGCTCCTGTATTTTTACTTTTCCGGCATGGCTTTCTCTTAAAATATGTCTCGTGCTTCATTGCACGAGAATATAAGACAATTTTAACGATAATTCTATAAAAAGTCGCTAACTAAATACAAAATCCATAACAATATGCTGATTTTAAAGATTTTGCGATTTTGTTGAATTTTATGTGGAATAAGTGCAAAGAAAGTGATGTTGATATAAGTGAGCTGAAATAACAAATAAAAAAAAAATTGGTCATCTTATTTAAAAAACTGAACGCTGATATCATAAATTGAGAAAAGTCTGAAATATTCTGTGGCAATATTTAACACTTTATCAGGAATGAACATATGCTGCTGTTAAAAATTGTGTGTTTTTAAAATCAATTTGATTTGTGAATTCAGAATACTACAATATTTGACCAGAGCGTATACTACAATTGATGTAATATTTTCATATCAAAGCATGAGAATGGATGTGTTCATGATTTCATTATCATGAGGTATCAAAGCATGAGATTGTATGTGTACATGATCTCATCATCATTGTATGGGAGAATAGAATAATAAAAATTATTAGTGTTTATAACTGACAATGAGCTGTAAAATTAATAAATAAATTAGATTTTTTGTGCAAATACCCAGCAGAAAATGATAGTTTATTTAAAGCTCATTGCTCTTCCACCGGTTCGATGTCTTAACATGGAAATGCTAGGAAATCATGTGTTGGCCACATTAGATATTTTTACTAATTTTATCATTCAAATATTCAGAGGGGGAAATTGTGTGAATAAATTTAATCTCCAAAGAATGTGGTTATAGTAGGAACATACTAATAAAACATATATATGGATAAACTAAGTAACTATCACAACTTATTTATTTAGAAGAAAGTGGTAATTTTCACAATATTATTTATTAAAAGAAATCTATATTCCAGAAGTTTACCTCGTAATATTAACATTGCTAGTATTTCATGATGTATCTTCATTTCTACTTCCTTATATTGAATCTTGCACACTGTAGTCCACTACCTCTTATCATCCCTAAGCCTCGTGTCATTTAATACTGCTCAAACTGTTGTCTGTATGGTCTGGTATTGCAGGCAACTTTCAAGTCATTGCTACTGCTATTGTCTTCATCACCATTCAGAATATCTTCCGGTATGCAGCGAGCTTCAGAACCATCATGAACATTAGATATTTCCCTTAGTCAATGTCCATGCACCCGAAGTTTACAAACAAACCAGTTAGCATGATGAAAACAATCATTATGTGGATGAGTCCATTTTAGAATTTAGAGAAGCTAATTTTCTGAAGACATTATTTTCTCCTTCTGGGGAAAACTAGAAAATTATGCAAGGGTGGAAATACATGAGTAAATAAAGTTTTTATGTATTTTTCTTTCATTAAAAATTTGTTATAGCAGTGAAATTGTTTGCTTTTACATGATGCGAAATGAAAAGTTTCTAAGAATGCATTATATTCTTAAGCTAGTGTTTATTTAATACTTAAAACTTTTCCTTCTGAGAGGGAAATTGCTGTTATTTCCTATTAAAGTTTTTATCAATATTTCATTTTTAATACTAATAGTAATAAGAGGAAGATGAACATGTAATACATACACATCTTTTGCTGTATAATTTGCACAATGGCTTAAAATTCTGTTTAAATTAAGTTAATAAAGTATAGCAAACTTTTCTTTTAAACAGTTTCATCATTGAAAAATAAAATATTTGATGACAGATTCTAATTTTTTTTGTTTTAATAGGTGGAATTAGTTTTAACTGTTGAGAGGATTCTTCCTACAGTAGTTCTAAGGAAGTGCATATGCAGAAGCAAAACTATTTATCCTAATTTATGGCAAAATTATCCCTGGTACTGGAAATTTTTTAGGATACATCATACCTTTTCTACTAAACTGTCAAAGGTAATGTGGTTTAAATGATATTTTTCAAACAAATATAATCTGGAGTCTCAACAAAAAATAAATAAAGTTCAATTGTTTGCATTGTTTATAGATTTAATAAAAAAATGCTGATTTTCAGCATGGCAAATATTAGATTTCTGCTTGAAGTTAACTTTAAGTCATTGATTGTAATAGGGCTCCATAGTAAGTTTCTCACTACTACTCTAGGCCACAGGTGGGCTCCCTAGAACTCTTAGGACCATGCACAAAAAAGTAAAATACACTGATTAAAAAATACCTGGGAAAAATATAATAGCAGGTAGAGGAGATTCTGTAATAGGAAATTATTCATATAAGTCATTTTTAGTATAAATCATTAAATTCATTAAAATTTTATTATATAAAAATAATATGTATAAACCATAGTATATGTTTCTAAAGATTTGTTAAGGAGCTCTAAGAGGAAAATATTTTCGAATATTTTGAGCTGTATGCTGAGTGATTAAAAATTATCTTGCAAAACCTTAGGGTAGGTGGAGAGAAAGAATCTTTGAAAACTCTAGGGCATAATTGTAAGCAGTGAAAGAATATACTTAAACAGGTACTTGTCATATAATGCATAAGCATAACTCAAGCAGTGAAGTGATATAGAGGCTTTTTATAAAACATGTAAATATTGTTTTTCACACTTGTTGTCACATCTAAAAAAGATTTTTTTTTAAAAAGATTTTGTGTCTTACCTTTGTTAAATATCACGTTCTTCATGCTTAAACCACATAAAATTCAATTCAACAGCAATATCATGAAACATTTAAATACATCATGTCTTTAAAATTTCCGATAGACAGTCTCACATGCTGGAGATTAAACTATTTTTTTCTGTGCAGTGTTACTATTGCTCGCTTTGAAATCATCGAGTTTATTAATCAAAAATTCGTTAAAGGTTTAGAAAATATGAAATAGATAATAAAACAAATTCAGATACAAAACAGATAATAAAACAAAGTTTAGGCATCCTGGTCCATATGTTCGGGTGAAGGATTATGTTATTCAAAATTTGATGGCTCCAGGTACTGTTGTTTTTTCACAGTGTGAGAAATATACATACTTTTAATGCAGATTCTTCATTATTTAATTCCTTTAAATGTAGTGAGGGTTCTCAACCGGGTTCCCAACCCTATGCTCACGGCCACCATGGCACTCGTCGATCCTTTAACTTGTGCCCGCCTCTGTGCTATCACTATAAAAATGTTTTAGTTTTCAATAAAATTCTATATACAAGTTTTTTTATTTTTAATGAAATAGAAATTGTGACCAGCATAAAGCAAAATGCGACTGATTTCTTTTTTGGGGGGGAGTGGGGGATCTTATGCTACGATCTTGCATGTATTATTAACTCTATTCAACTATAAATTCACTTTGGAAAAGTAAATGGTGTCCGCCATTCAACAAATATTCTAGAATGTGCTCTTAGGGACAAAAAGATTGGGAACTCCCGATCTAGAGATATGCTCTTTTTAAATTATTTTGTGATATTGCTGTTAAATTTAATTTTCTGTTTTAAGTGTGAAGAACATGATATTTGATTAATAAAGGTAACACACAAAATGTTAAAAAAAAGCCCCTTTGGGCATAATATAAAATCTGAAAGTTTTCAGATTTTTTAAAATTTCTTTTGTTATTATTTTATAATTTTAAATATATTGTATCATCATAACTAAAGTCTTACAAAGTTTGTTAAATAAAACTATATAAATTAGAATGATATGCCTTTTCTCTTTTTGTAGTCTCCTCTGGAAGAGCTAGAACAGAAGCAGGCTAAGTTAAGTAAACAAATGAAAGAGATACAAGAATCAATTCTGCTTTTGCAAAAAGATGTAAAGAATGTGATGACTATCGTTCAAGAAACACAAAGATGATACGATGAACCTCATTCAAACTAAAAAGTGTGAAGTGACTCTATTATGTATAATTTTAAACTAGATTTCATAATTTGATATATTTATTTATAAATGCATAAATATAGCCATTTTATACAGGTGTGTAAATGTTAAGCAAATAGCTAAAATTCATTCATTTTTCTAATCAAACTAATTGATCTATGGATTATAACTGATTATCTAACTACGTGTATCATTTTTGTAAATAATATTCGAACTTAAAAAACACTTTTTGCCATGAGTTGTATTAAGTAAGATGATTTTGAAGGCTGGTATCATCATTAGAACTAATATGTGAACTTGTGTAGAACACTTTTTTTTTTTTTATCATGAATTGATATATTAAATGAGATGATTTTCAAGAACTGTTGATCTGGTCTAGAAAAACAGATCTGTTTTTACTTGGATTGTTTTAGAAGAAAATACAATGGTACTTCATCATTAATCCATTCCAGATCCTTGGATATATACCAAACGAAATTTTCTATTAAGAAACAAAGGGAAATATTTAATATATTTTTATGAAAAGAAACATTGTTATTATTATAATGGTGATTAATACTGAAACACAAATGCAGTACTTGAAATCTATACTATATATATAAATGAAACACTTCACATGATACTGTATGTAAACATTTTTCTGCCATACCGATCAATAAATAAATCAGTTTGTGTCTAACATTTCTGATTATAGTTTAGTAATTGATTTCACCCCCTTTGCAATGCTATATCATCTTTGTTTACTACATTGTACATTACACTGTATGTGCTGGATATGCATGCCATCTTCATACTTTTTCAGCTATCCCTTATTTCACCTCCATAGTGATCCTAACAGTTTTTTTTTTTGGGGGGGGGTTTGTTTTTTTTGGTGTGTGTGTGTTGCTTGACTTTTCTCATGAGCTTTCTTAAAACTCTTTGCTAATGAATTCACAAAAAAACTTGCATGAAAAAATATGAGATCACTAAAAGATAGTTTACTGAATAGTAGCATCAACCATACTAACCGTCATAGACACTCGTACCATTGTCTCCAAAGAGGTAAACAAGTGTTGTACATGCCATTGTGGCCCATAAGACTTGAGCTGTATACCAAATAAAAATTTTTGTGTCCAAACAGAATGTATTTCAAAGAAATATATAATGAGGTATTATTGTATTATTAATAATTTGAATGGTAAATATTTTAAAGTTGTATTACATTTATTATAATCCAAAGATTGAAACTGGAAAAATAAACTGTAAATATTTAATACAACAAAAACAGAATATCAGAAATCATACAAATATTGTGATGTGGATTTACTTAGATGAAAATTATATGTGCTTTACAAATTATATACTTCTGAAACTTCTTCTCTTTTAAGGTTCTGCAGATATGAAATTAATTAGCAATGATGCAAAAAGCAGAATGACAATCATTTTTCATGAATTTTCTGATTATGTACTTAAATATACTGTAACATTGTTTTAATGTGATATGCAAAAATAAAAGTCAATTATTATAACTGAAAGAAATCTTACAGTTGGATATAATTGTTTTAGCATTTTTTCCATATTGATGGCCTTTCTTAATTTATTTTTGATAAAACAAATCTCATCTTTCTCAGGACTAATGCTTAATGTGAAATACTTTCTAACATAAATTATGGAATTATGCCAGGTGGAGTTATTTTTAATATGTAGCATCTGATCTACCACTTTTAATTAGTTAATTTAGTTTCTTAGCTTGCACCACTAAAATTGGCTGTTGTTTTAACCATTTCTTCGATGTTTTCAAAAGTGAATGCTACTTTTGGGACATTCATGATGTATACGGCTGAATGACTCAAAAAAATGCTCTTTTAAAGGACACTCATGCTTTTGTAATTAGTAAAATCAGAAGAAATATAATCATTTATTAACTTAATGAAATCATTTTCGCTTATGTAATCTTAATAATTATACTTATTTTCATATTTTAAAACTGTGTTTTAGTGACACTTTCCAATAAATAACAAAAAGCATTAAATTGGATACTACATCATAACCAACAATATGTCTTTGGCAGTGGAGTTTCCAAAAAAAAAAAAAAAAATCATTCTTTTTTTCCTCAACAGTTGAATTGTTGCATTGATTTTTGGACTATCATAAGTGCCTGCTTTGAAGTAGTATTTGTACTTTTTATGTATTAGGTTGTATATATTTCATTTGAAATAATTATTTACTATATACATATATTACACTAAAATAAGATGTAGTAAATGCCGTCCATTTTTGTTATTCCTCAGTATAGTTTACTTTTACTAAAGTTGACACTTTAGCTGTAAATCAAATATTAATAACACATTATAAGTGAAAAAATATGTTTATAATTCTTGCCTGCCGTTTTGGAAGTATTTCGACATACATGTTAGTCTGGTGAATTTTCAAAAAATGATTTGAAACTGATATAGATTTATAAACGTAGCATATCTAAACTCTTCATTAAATAAGTAATAAATAGATGAGATGTTGTAATGCAGTTATTTTGCATTGTTTTAAACACTAATTGAATATCACTTTTGCATATTTTATATTATGCTTCTTAAGCATTTATAGTTGTGATAAAATTACTTTGTAACCTATAATAGAAAGATAAATTTATGTATTGTATATTTGTGAACTTAAAATGCATAAATTGTATCTGGACTTGGTTTTTAGTTTTAAAATAAAGGAATCTATGCATTTAAAAAAGGTCTCTGAATCACATTCATCTTCACACACTAAACATATTTTTAATCCGATTCTTTTTCCTGATATTTTTTAAAATTATGAATCAAATGCTTCTGTATTTTTTATAATTTAAATTTGCCCACTAGATGTATAGATTTTATATTAACATTTGTTTATTGTTTTATTTATTATAGCATTAAGAGTGATTTTATATATTCAAAAAATAAATTCAATACATTTAAATAATTTTTTAAATATGCAGTTGGCTAATATTTATTAAAGTGATCTTTTAAATCTTTCTGGCAGAAAAATTCATCGACTCGTAAAAGCTGTAGAAATGTTAAATGCTGGTTCATTGATTTACAGGCCTTGTCGTAATTAAATAAGCCAAATCAAATCGTTGATTAACCAATCATTGTATAGTGCAAGAAGCCATCTGCTTTAGAAGGGATGCTTTCATGAAGGATATACTTAGCGAACGTTTTCGTATACAAATTACACATAGAAAATGTCCAAAAGTTATGAACAGTCAACCTATTCGCACAAACCATATTATGACGATCAGCAAGTAGTATGCATTCTGCCACTTTGGGACACAAATATTAAAAAAACAAAGAGCACAGAACTTAACATTTAGTAGTTGCTAAGCAAAATTCTCAGAACTAGTTTTTAAAATGAAAGTTGCAAGTTTCCCTTAATCATATTGAAAAGAATTATTTGTTGATCTAATACTAAGGATGAAGGAAAGAAAAATGAAGTAGCTTAAAATTAATCATACTTAACAGAATTCAAACCAATGAAGAAAGTCAAAGGATTTCAGCATGAAAATTATGTTCCGTTTCTGGCAGTGCTATGATATACTTAAGATTATATTTGTGCAAATTAAGAATTATTACGCATTTATAAGTTAACTGTGGAAGCAAATTATTGCAAACATCATGCAATGAAATTGTAGTGGATGCTATAAAGTATAGGATATATTCCGTTATTAGGATGACATGTGTTAACATCTTGAGCCCGGTGGCGAATTTGCTGTCCTTTCCGTTCAGCCGGCGCGAATTGCGGTGCAATGTTGTAGGGTGATCTGCGACTTCGTGCACTGAGTAGAGCTTATCTGTTGGTGAGATTTGTTGGCTACTGACATACAAACCCTGCCTGTGCGTTGCAAAGCTTGTGGTCGCGAATGTTAATGCTGTTGGTTTGTGGGACCGACGCCAGCCAAGCGAAAATTCTAGTGCCGGCCACACGGAAAGTTCACTGCCAGTCCCCTGGGATCGGCGCCGGGCTCTACGTGTTAAACAATTTTTTTGCATAAAGGTATATGTGCATTGATAAGTTAAATACATTATTCTTTATAACTGTGTTATTTTCAAAGTAAAAATTGTCAACAAAAAGGTTTTTAGAAGTGTGCGATTCCACTTCATTCTTTGTTTATTGAGAGAAACTAAGATATATTTCTTTTGTTTAGAAAAATGTTACCATGGTTGATATGAAGTTGCCAGGTTTGGTTTGAAATTCTTCAAGAAAATAAGAAGCAAAATATTTTTTTCCGCCGTTTTTGATTGCACTCCACGTCTGCGCTCATTAACAACAATGTTAAGTTATTAGATAAGGATATATAAAAACGAATCGATTACAACTGAAGGAAGCTTTATCAATTTTATAGAAATAAGAAAGAAAATTGATAATAGTTTTACAAAGAAAAATGTTTATAAGTTAGATGATCTCAACAAGCATATGGGGCCAATACGGTTCGATTGCATGAATGTGTCCAAGCCATAACTTGGCAAAGAAATGACTAATATAAATACATACCTTGTTTTTTTTTTTTTTTTTTTTTTTTTTTTTTTTTTTTTGACTCTTACTTAAATGGTATGCCAAAAAATGACATTTCTGCAAAGTCAAGTATGCTAACACTTTTTAAAACTGTACACAGGATCTACAATTTTTTTAATCTTAAGAGTTGATGGTATGCAGTTATGTACATTATAAAACAAAATTAGAAGGCACACAGATATGTGATAAACATCAAAAGCAGATGCTGTAAAGAATGGGATCTACAAATAAATGAAGAACATCATTTATTATAGGACAAAAGGATAAAACACTGAATTGGAGTAAAAAGAACAGCTTTTTTTAAGCAAATCAATTAAAAATTTTTTATATGTCTAACTGATTAGGAATTTAATACTGCAATTAACAGAAAAAAATGAACAAGGGCAAAAATTACATATAGAGCTATATGCTTAGTAGAGGGTTTATATCTTTTTTTACACCATATGAAAGAATATTTCTGAAAGTATTTTTCAGAAATGTAAAAATTTAGCATTAAATATCAGGTAAATTTTAAAAGAAAGAAGAAAGGTAATAAATCAAGAATCAATTGATAAGAGAACTAATTTTTCATAGTCAAAATTAAAGAACCGTTAGATTTATTTCAATCTTCCAACTGAAATGGAGTTATGAAAAAGTACAAGCAATATTTTCAATTTTTAGTTTCGATCTGATGAAAAGTTTCTGAAATTGAATTCAAGTAATTAAATGTAGTGGCTTAAAATTCAAATTATAATAAAATAATGACTAATAATTCAAAAAATAAATATTCAAATGATATAACTCTGCAGAAAATCAATAAAAAAGTATTTAGTTCTAGAATATACCATTTTCAGCAGTTATAAATACTAAAGCATCTGCAAACTTAGATCCTTTAAAAATAATTCATGAATACAATTTGGTTCATTGTATCCAAATTTAGAAACAGCATTAAAAACACTTTTAAATTTATCAACTACTGCTATTTATTATTTATCGCTAATGGCGAAAGATGTTTCAGCAAATTAAAAATATTAAAAAATTATGTAAATCTTCATTAGGTCAAGAAAAGATGGATTTTACTTTGTTAAAAATGAGGAAAAGAAATTCTTGAAAAATTAAGTGGAATGCTATTCATATTAGTTACATTACAAATTATGCTATTTCACTTTTAATTGTCATTTATCAAAAAGGAAATGTTTAAGGTCTTTCATTTCAAAACTGCAAATGAAGGGTTATGAATGGGGCATTTTTCTGAATATATAATACAATGATTAAATATTATTATACAGCTGCTTTGATTTGAAGTAGTTACTTTAAATGAATATAAAAGTGATAGTTGTATTGTGTGTATATATATATATTTCACTTTTTATATAGCCCCCAAAAAACTGCCGAATAATTTACTTGTTTATAAAGGTGCAAAATTATATCTTTGCCTTGGGTGATAAAATATCTAGGCACAGCTGTAGATATAATCCATATGTATAAGGCCTTCAACAGCATACATTTTATTAATATTGCTACTGTAAAAGGCCTATTTACTGTTTATTTACTAAAAAGAAACTGTTTATTTCATTAAAAAGAAAATCTGAAAGGTTTCAGATTTTAAATTTATTACATGTCATGTTCTTCGCACTTACACCATAAAATTCAGTTCACACAAAATAATTTTAAATTGAGCATATCTTTAGAATTTCTGATACACAGTCTCATGTGCTGGCTTGGCATTGCTCACTTTGAAACCTTGAGTTTGTTACATGTGCTGGCTTGGCATTGCTCACTTTGAAACCTTGAGTTTGTTAATCAAAAATTTATTAAAGTTTTACAAAATATGAAACTTATAATAAAACAAATTCCAAATTTAAAATTTGGGCCTCCAGATGCCCATATTTACAGTAGGATTATGTCATTCAAAATTTGATGGCTCTAGGTACCGTTGTTTTATCACAATGCAAGAAACACATATATATATATATATATATATATTATATTAATGAATATAAGATTCTTCATTATTTAATTTCTTCAAACATAATACAGGATGATAACATTTGATGGCAACAGTTCGAAAAGTGAAATGGACATTTAGAGTGATTAGATGCAAAACGAAAACAATGGTCCCTCAGAGACAAAACCCCTTTGAACTAAAAATTGCAAATTTGTACAAGTAATGAACCACAAAAATGTAGAATATGAGCACAGGCAATTAGATTAGAAACATTTTAGTGTAGAATGCATTGAATTATTTTATATACAGTAAACTAATACCAATGAAAATGGAAAAGCCTGGCAACATTTATTAGCAGAAAAATAGTTAATACATTTAAATAGATATTGAATATCCTTTAAATACAAACACAAAAATCAACAAGCTTTGTGAATGACCAGATTTATTTTCATATATAAACAGATATAAAATGACACTCTTTTGTTTTTAAAACATGATACAATACACAAACAAAATTATGAATTTTAAATGGCAAAATATCACACTAATTGGCTTTAAATTTTCTCTTAATTAACACAAAAGAAACACAAATTTATAACAAGAATATGGACGGGTAATT